GGCATATTGAAGAGAGAGAGGAAAGCGCTTCTTTCAAGAAAATTACTATATAAGGAAATTTTCAAGAAATCAGTGGTAAACGGGTGAGAGTTTTTTTTTAAATATTTATTTAATATTAAATTATTTTTTATTTTACAATTAATTCATTAATATATATTTTTACAATATAAAAAAGTTTTTTATAATTATATAATATAAATATCTTTATATATAAATGGGTTTTTTTTCTGGTTCAAAAATTTTTTAAAAATATATTTAGTATAACAAATAATAAATTAATATACTATATATAATTAAAATAAATGTATTTGTATATCTTATATTTAAATATTAAATATGTAATTAATAATTATTTTTTTTAAAGACCTGTGGATTTATAGTACAGTGGTTAATGCTCTACAGATCAGATCACAAGATAATAGTTCAAATCCTCCAGAGGACTAATGTGGAAACTTCAAATCGGAAGAAAAGAATTGACATCTTCTGATTGCCATTATAAGATACCAAGTTCAGTTTCAGGTAAAGGCAATTAGACCATCTTAAAATGATATCTGGTACTATAACCTAATATGCGCTGTTTTCTATAAGAAGCCAATTTACATGTTAATTCAACAGGTGTTAGGATTATGATATTAAGAAAGGTGTAGTAGTGTAATAATCGTTTGGTAGTGTTATAATAATCGTTGTTAAGTTTGATGCTTTCACCTGTTTCTCATGTATGGAGCACGCTTCTTTACTCTTTTAGTCCATGAAACTATAAAAGAAACAATCTGATTTTTCAAGAGACCAAGCTAGAGCCACAAAGACTTCTTGTTGGATATGACTAGTCCACGACTAATCATATTAGGATACAGTTCTTTAAGTTTTTATTTATCGAATGGTGGGTGGGACTGAAAGATGCATATTCTGACACATTAGCACTTTATCTATGCTATTAGAACCCTAATGTTGATAATATAGGAAGAATGGAGAGCAATAAGCCAATCAATGGATAAGTCATAAGAACTTTCTCTAGGTAGTTTCATTAGGTAGATAGGTAGTAGTCAATTCTCATAAAGGGAAAAACACATGTACCATAAATTCATATCTAATAAAACAAGATGTACGCCAGTTGTTAAAAAAAAAAAATATTTTTTTAATAAAAATAATAAGTAAAACTTTAAAAAATATCAAACTATTATTAAAATAATATTGAAATAGTACTAATTTATAGTAAATTTAATATATGGATTGTAACCTACTTATATGAGTTTATAATAAATTTAAATATTAAACTGATATTGAAGTGGTATTGAAATGGTATTATTAGAAGTCCTAATAATAAGACATGTCTCACCTTAACAATATATACAGTATATTATATATATATTTTGTATATTAACTGTTAAAAAAAATTTTTTTTTGTAAAATTATATATATTTTATAATTTCAAAATCTACTTTTTTATTTAGAAAGGTTTTTTAAATTCTTTGTTATTCTTTTTATTTCATATTTATATTTTATTATAAAATGGGTTTGACTTTAAAATATAACAATTTTATTATTCATTGATACTTTTGTTTCAGTTGTGTATTTTCCACCATTCCCTTATATTTATAATTCGTTCCTTTATTTGATCTTTTGGTTTTAATAAAAAATATTATATGTTCTTTTTGATTTCAAAAGATTTAATTTTTGATGCTTTGATCAATTATTTTTTATTAATACACAATAAAATCAAATACATTAATTTTTCTCATTTTATTTCTAACTTATTAATAATAAAGAAATTCAAAAAAAATTAAAGGTTATCAACTCAAACACGTTTCTTTTGTCAGACAAAAAGACTTAGGTATTTGAATATTGTAGTAGGCATTTTGCGTCGCCACGCCGTTTTATTATTTGAAGTTAATTTCCTGGAGATCAAAGATCATTTAATAAAGCTGATGGAACATATAATAGTACATATCAGCCAAATTTGATCTCGACGCCATTGACAAAATTGAAATATTTACAAGTACAACGAACAGGAAGAAAAAAGAAACAAACCATCATCAGCCTACTATTCAAGATAAAATAATGGATTAACTTCATCATATTCTCTTAAGTGTAAATACATTCAAGACTGTGCAAAAAAGCTATGGCAATGTTCGACGACGCCAAAATACCCGTTTGGATATGCAAAGCAAACTGTGTAACGGATTTGTTTTATCAGCAACAATGACGCCCACAATATTCCACGCCATTTCGTTAAAGTCTAAATCATCACGAAAGACTTCTAGATGTGATTCGGTCAGAGGGAAGCTAGGAAGACTTACGCTCGTCGTCACTTGATCTTTCAGTGCAGCCGAAAGTCCCAAATGCGTGGTGGACAACACAATGGCAAACCGGTACTTATCACTAGCTTCATCGTAGGATATCTCGTACCTAAAACATCGTGTTTTATGTTTGATCTTTCAATGAATAGGTTTAAACAAAATAATGTGACCTTTCTAAAAAAGGAGTACACTCCACCTCTCATCATCATTTTCCAAATACATCACTTCCATTCGGAGTCGTTCCTTTATTTGTTCGTCATTTGTCATCATCAAAGGATTATATTTATAGCTACAGGAAAAAAAATATATTAACTTTAGAGAAGCTACTCCGACATTGCGTCGGTTAAAACAGATTTATTTACCAGGGATCACCCTCATTATTAAAAACCAGGATGGAGTCATCATTTTGACTGTATTCCGTTTCTTCGAACGCACGCTTCCTCATTTGATGAAACTTTCGAAGACGTTCTTTTCTGCCTTTCCCTATGGACCTCCCAATTGCTTCTCCGTTCTTAATAAGCAGTAAACGCTGAGCATCATCTGAGTCTTATTTTCCAGATGCATCGAGAAAACCAAATGTCAAGTACCTTCATCTCACAGACTTTTTCGATTTTATAACTAACTCCATGATGATTTCCCCAGGATCGACTCTGATATTTATTACGTGTAGTTGCAGTGTATTGAACCAATTTTGGCAAAACGCGAATGGTAACACACAGATCATGATCCGGGTGATTAAGTGACCATTTAGACTTTGGGGGTGGAGGGAGCGGATTGTAAAGTCCAGTGTGTATGAGTACTTGGGTCAATCATAAAAATGAAATATGGAGTAAAATAAATAAAAATAAGCGCATAAGTATATCTGTGAAAATTTAAAGGTTTACCTGCAACTATATCAGAGTCGTCGGTGTACACATCTGTTCCCCATAAAAATCGATTTCTGACCTTCATGTTTTCCCATGTCAAATGTTTGGACGGGATCCAAATTTCCAATAATCCATTTTCATGGAATTCTAGGGGTGGAAGTATTTCTTTAGGATTATAAATGAGATGGCCTATTATTATTTATCAAAAATCGTTAGCAAACAATCAACTCTAATCAATATCCTTGGTTCATAAGCGTTAACCTAAATGACGTTCTTCTCGACCCTCCATGTTGAGCGTGTCATCATTCTTAACTATCAAATGTGTTTCTCTTTGTAAGTTTAAGCTTTCGAAAAGTGAACGATTCAAGGAAAGCTCTTCGACCTCATCATCGTCATCATTTTCGCTTCCATCATCATCCGCTTTACAATCGTCATTTGGATCAATCGCATCATCATCCCCACTATTATCTCGCCCGTCCGCGTCTTCATCAAAACCATCGGCTTCTCCCCTAACTCTATTTACAACATCTATTTTACGTGCGCTTTCGTCGGCAGAAATATCAACACTTAGTATGGAAGAAGTATGATTTTGAAAATCTAGCTGATTTTGAGATCGATTCATTATATTGGTGGAGTTCCCCACATCCATCTCCTTGATATTCATATCAAGTTTCCTAATGAACGGATCATGATCACTATTCGAAAGAATTGATGATATCGACATCGAATTGTAGGTAGACGTCAAATGTGGAATTGGTGGCAAAGGACCTAATGTATCGATGGGAGGAAGTTCTTGATGTTGACCAGCGAGTGATCTCGGAGAAGGAATAGGCATGACCGGTGAATCAGTGGCAGAGATCGGCGGAAGTGACAAGCTGGAAGGGTTTGGATCTAGCAAGGTTGGAGGAATGGGCAATTGAAAGGAGTTCGAGAAGGGTGTGGAGGCTGGTTGAGAAAGAGTTGCAGATATTGGCGGTAATGTGCGTCTCAGACGTTTCGTCTGGTGATCCTGTAACGGAAGGGAGGCTTCAGGTGAAGAGAGAATCGAGTCTTCCGGCAGTGATCTTTTTTGCGAGGACGAGGGTAAATTCTCCATTCTTTCTATTCTATATTATTATTATTAATTTGTAGTAGATAAAGTTAATATGGTTATTAGTAAGAGAATACAACGAGGAGAAAGCTATTAAAATTGATCGTTCAGTAAGCCAAATTTCATTGGATAGAGATAATATGCATAATCATTTATGGTATGTTACATAAACTCCATTTGAAACATGAAATTTAATTCAAGTTTTTAGGAATATACAGGTAAGAAAATATTCTCTCTTTCCAATACTCACCTGATAAAAAAATAACTTCCGATAAACAATAATGCAATGATGCACCTCATTTGATCATTCGGACTTGATGAGTAACAATCAAAATGTAATCTCAAACCGACTGAAGACTAGACCACGTGGTTATGTCGCGATTCCTTAGTAATTATTAAAACATAATAATACAGTAGTTATAAACAGATACTAGATACGAGATATTTATTATTTTATCTAAAATGAGAAATTAAGTTAATAACAAAATAATTTATATTACATGTATAGTTAACATTACTTTATTTAATTATTGTTAATTAATAAGCATTATTTAAATTACAACTGTTGAAAAAAAATTTTTTTTTAAGGAGATAAACATTGTTGCTTTATTATAATTATAAAATTGAAAAAAAAAATTTATACTTGAAGAAAGTAACAATATCTCTCACATAATCAATTGATCAGTAAGTTTAATACTAGCTTGTCTACAGTAAACTATCTAAGTTGCAAAGGAAAAGAAATATTAAAATCAATATATTATCAAAGATTATATTGGAAAGCTATAAATACCTACTCAGATTTATATATAAAAATATTATAAAAAATAGAAAAAAAATAAAATACTAAGCAAAAAAATAGATACAAAAAAAACCAATTGTAAAGTTAAGGATACTCCAGAGAAATGTTTTACTCTGGTGATTTTATTTAACTGAAATATGGTATATTAGTCACGGGATATTTCCCTTAATCAAGACTCAAAATATTATTTTTATAATACAATTTATATTGTGTGTAACAACAACGGGAGGAAAATGTCCCTTAACTGATATGTATATTTATCACAAATAACCAGGTTATTGTTCAAAATATACAATAGTATTAATAATATATTTCTTTAATAATTGATTTGTTATGATAATTGTATTGTTATTTTGTTAATACGATTAGTGATTGGTTTGTTTGTTGATAATATAATTGGTTTGTTTTTAATAATGTGATTTTGTTTTAATAGTTGTTGCCAAAAAAGATTTTGTTTATATTAATCAGTATATAGTATTTTTATAGTACAGATTTGTTTAAATAATTGATAGTATTTGATTAGTTGGTTTTGAAATATTAATTAATTGACAAAAATAAATTAATTATGATTTTTTTGTAAAATTTTTTTTGAAAAAAAGTTGTGTTTTTTGTAGTACAGCAAAATATGTTAGGCAATAATAAGAAATAAACAATAAATATATTACTGGTCTTCCAAGTCAACAATATAAATATTTTTAATGTATAGTTTGATTTTTTGATTTATAAAAAAGATCTTTAAGGAAAGAATATTATTATTTAATAAAAAATATACAGTATATTTGTAAAAAGTGAAAATGAAAAAACCTTAAGAAAAATTTATAAAAAAGTAACTTACAAATTTTTTTTTATGCAATCCAAAAAAAAAGCAAGGTTCTTAAACTTGCTTTTTTTTTGTAAATAAACATCATTTCTTTATTTGATTTGTATATAGCAAGATATACATCATGAAAGAAACAACATCTCTCATATATTGGTACAATGAGTTAAATGCTAGCTTGCCTACAGTAACCATACAACTAATATTGAAAAGAAAATTTAAAACAATATATTTTACTGGATGGCATCAAGCAGTTATAAATATCTACTCAACATTAGAAGAAATAGTAGTAGAATTAGAATTGGTAGATAGAGTTGTTAGACTATAAATACATTTGGAATAATTATATTTAGATTGGATGAATGAGTTAACTATAGTAGAAGGTAGATCAATAATAATATTATTTTGTGGATTATTGAAGATGTCTTTGGCCTGTGAAGTGTTTTTAGCTTCTGAATTGGTGGAATTGGTTGAGTTATGTATCTTGATATGATCCCACTTGATTCTAGTGAGAGGTAAAGTATTGGTTGTAGAGCAATGTAGTTTCTAAATTAGATTATACAATAAGGACAAAGATTCTGTTGCTGCCTTGATCCAGTTCGTAGAGTCTGTAATTGAAAAGATTTTGTTTATAACTCTACAAGATAACTTAATGACTTGCCATATATGTGAGATTGGTTTATGATTATCGTCTGGATGGAAAGTTTGATTAATAGTTTTAATAATTTGTTCAGCTGCTTGTACTGCTTCCGCGCATTTGAAAACATGTTGAATGTCTTTTATACGGAGTTCACATCATGGACAGAGAGTATTTGGGTATTGGTTAGGATATAACCAATAAAGTATAAGACAGGTTGGAAGAGTTCCTGAGAGCAGTTTGATTTTGAAGGCTACTAAGATGCTGTATTTGTTATTACAGAGTTTTCTAATATTTTTGTTGGACTGGTTGATAACTTTTAGACCATGTAAAGTATGTGTTTGTTCAAATGTTTGGACAACTGAGTAGCTTTCGTATACCATGTAGTCTCTGATAATACTAAATATTTTCTTGCACCATTTGATGCTGCTACCTAAACAAGTATTGTTAATTAGAAGATTTTATGGAAAGTGTAGCAAAGGGTTGTTTCACTGGATAGTTCTGGTTAATCTTGGTCTAGATTTTGGTTTGGTATATACGATCTCTATAAACTTTTGTTGTATTGTTAAAGTAAAAAATGAACTATATAAATAATGAGAAAAATAAAAGTAATATGAAGTAGAATATAAAAAGTAATATGAAGTAGAATATAAAAAGTAATATGATAGATATGCAAAAGATATCTAGTATTTCTAGTATATTCTAGTATCTTTAAATATCTAGCAGGTATAACGAGTAATTATCAAGTACAATATAGATAACAAATATAAAGTTGGATAATAAATCCAAAACTGGCTAAATTATATTAGGCATAAAAAGTATAAAAATAAGATGACAATATAAAAATATGGCAATTAAGGAGGATAGACACTACACACTAAAAAGGCTATCTATCTTGAGAGTATCACTAAACAAAGGAGTGACCACACAGGATGTTGGCAGTTACGACGCACGATCGACAGATCGATCTGTGTCATTGTTAAACTTGAGCCAAATATATACGTCTCTTTTGAGAAAAAACCATTCTTCAATGTAGTACGGCATATACAGAACAGAAGCGACAAACTTGCCGTATTTCACCATAACAATATGTACTGATTTATTCTCTGAGACAATGAAGAGAAGTTGATTTTAACCATTTTTCTTGAGTATTCAGGTACCGGTTGAAGAATTTTTTTGTTGTTTCTAATTTCGATGGTAGAGTGAATTGGGATTTCCTGTATGATGTCAAAGATTGCCAATAAAATGTTGTCTGGTAATAGGCAGAAGTTGAGTGGTTTTACTTCAGTCTCATTTATAAATAGACTGTTCTTGTGAGATTGAATATGGTAATGTTGTTGCAGGCTGAGGTCTTGTAATAATAATTGAAGAGGATGACTAGCAGATATATTAACTTCTTGGAGAATGTGTTCATTGTTAGGTGGGGAGTTGACAATTTTATTTATTATATTGAGCAGACGGTATTTGAATCTATTAAGAGAACTGAATGAGACCTATAGTGTGGAAACAGGCATACTCATAAATGGTATCCAGCAAAAACCATGGGAGAGTATACCGATTGGGCAGCTTGAATATCTAGTGAGATTATTGTCAAGATTTATAATGAAATGCTTTCCTTTGAGTGATATTTTTTCATCTATAAGAGTATATCTTTTGCAAGTCTTAACAACTGTATTAATATTATGTAGGAACCAGAATATTGTTTTAGGATTTGGTATTGGACTGTGGATTCCAGACAAGTTCTTAGTGTTTGCAAATGTTTTGAACCAATTGGGCTCTGGACCCAAGTGAATTATTCCTGTGTACATAGCAAACTGTGACCAAGAAAGTTTGGTGGTGTTATTGTACTTCAACAATTGGTTAATAAACTTTATGTTGAGGGCATTAGTTGTACTAATTGCTGTTTTTCTAAGTTGTGACTGTATGTTGGTGAATAGAAATCCAATCGAGTTTTTCATGTTGTCAAGATGATATGGACATTCTGCTGAACAAATTTAGATTTTAAGGTTCTTGACTGATTTTGCAGCATAAAGGATCCAGTTTTCCTGGTTGAATTTCTCTAGGTCGCAAATGGGACAGAACCAAATAGCTTCTTTTATTTGGATGGACTGGATGTCATTTATTATATACTTCCTGATAGAGGGGATGGAAAGTTTGGAGATGAGATTTCCTATTAGAGCGATTCTTTGCCTTTCTTCTAATATTGTCAAGTTGAGGCCACTGCAGCTAACTAGAATTGTGTTGGAGCATTTTGATGAAATCTTGTATGCCGACTTTACCAGTTTGTTGATTTTGGTTTGGAGTAAGTTAAGAGTCATTTT